AAAAATTATAGTAAATATATTAATTCAGGAAAACTTGGCTTATTAGGCAAATCGGGCCTTGAATAGTAGGCTGAGAAGTGAGTTCTGGCTACTAGGTACGACATATATATATATATATATATATCATAAACGTGAGTTTAAAATATACATATCCACCCTCCTTGTGGGGGACCAAGAAGGTGTTTTGGAAACCAGGTGACAGCAGCCTATGAGGCAGCAGATCCAGTATTCTGAAATAAAGTGATTGGTGGGTTCGTGAGTTGGTGGGGGTGGCTCCGTCTCTATTTGGTCCGGAACATATTTGAGATCCGTTTGGGTGTGAAAGCGTTCATTCAGATAAGAGACGCCGTACTGACAGGACGTGTCGAAGTGGCTCCTTTTGTTCTTAGAGTCCTCACTCTCCAGCTGCTATTCGTCTTTAATCACTGAACAAGGATTCGCCTGGAATTTGGAGTTATTCGCCCTGACCGATCAGGTGATTTTCCGTGCTGCTGAATAGTCCAGTGATTCAGCCCACCTCACGCAAACTCAGCAGTTCCTATGACGTAGTTAGTTCAACCTCAAATTTGCGTGAGGGAGAATTTTCCAGTCGTCGGGTAAATGGATTCAAGATGCGCAGTTATTGGCCATTATGCGCTGTAATACTAGCTGCTCTATGCTCTGCGACGCTAGCTGCTCTGCGACGCTAGCTGCTCTGTGCTCTGCGACGCTAGCTGCTCTGTGCTCTGCGACGCTAGCTGCTCTGCGCTCTGAGATGCTAGCTGCTCTGCGCTCTGAGATGCTAGCTGCTCTCCGCTCTGCGACGCTAGCTGCTCTCCGCTCTGGGATGCTAGCTGCTATCCGCTCTGCGACGCTAGCTGCTCTCCGCTCTGGGATGCTAGCTGCTCTCCGCTCTGGGATGCTAGCTGCTCTCCGCTCTGGGATGCTAGCTGCTCTCCGCTCTGGGACGCTAGCTGCTCTCCGCTCTGGGATGCTAGCTGCTCTCCGCTCTGGGATGCTAGCTGCTCTCCGCTCTGGGATGCTAGCTGCTCTCCGCTCTGGGATGCTAGCTGCTCTCCGCTCTGGGACGCTAGCTGCTCTCCGCTCTGGGATGCTAGCTGCTCTCCGCTCTGGGATGCTAGCTGCTCTCCGCTCTGGGATGCTAGCTGCTCTCCGCTCTGGGATGCTAGCTGCTCTCCGCTCTGGGACGCTAGCTGCTCTCCGCTCTGGGACGCTAGCTGCTCTCCGCTCTGGGATGCTAGCTGCTCTCCGCTCTGGGATGCTAGCTGCTCTCCGCTCTGGGATGCTAGCTGCTCTCCGCTCTGGGATGCTAGCTGCTCTCCGCTCTGGGATGCTAGCTGCTCTCCGCTCTGGGACGCTAGCTGCTCTCCGCTCTGGGACGCTAGCTGCTCTCCGCTCTGGGATGCTAGCTGCTCTCCGCTCTGGGATGCTAGCTGCTCTCCGCTCTGGGACGCTAGCTGCTCTCCGCTCTGGGACGCTAGCTGCTCTCCGCTCTGGGACGCTAGCTGCTCTCCGCTCTGGGATGCTAGCTGCTCTCTGCTCTGGGATGCTAGCTGCTCTCCGCTCTGGGATGCTAGCTGCTCTCCGCTCTGGGATGCTAGCTGCTCTCCGCTCTGGGATGCTAGCTGCTCTCCGCTCTGGGACGCTAGCTGCTCTCCGCTCTGGGATGCTAGCTGCTCTCCGCTCTGGGACGCTAGCTGCTCTCCGCTCTGGGACGCTAGCTGCTCTCCGCTCTGGGATGCTAGCTGCTCTCCGCTCTGGGATGCTAGCTGCTCTCCGCTCTGGGATGCTAGCTGCTCTCCGCTCTGGGATGCTAGCTGCTCTCCGCTCTGGGACGCTAGCTGCTCTGCGCTGTGAGATGCTAGCTGCTCTCCGCTCTGGGACGCTAGCTGCTCTCCGCTCTGGGACGCTAGCTGCTCTCCGCTCTGGGACACTAGCTGCTCTGCGCTCTGAGATGCTAGCTGCTCTCCGCTCTGGGATGCTAGCTGCTCTCCGCTCTGGGATGCTAGCTGCTCTCCGCTCTGGGATGCTAGCTGCTCTCCGCTCTGGGACGCTAGCTGCTCTCCGCTCTGGGATGCTAGCTGCTCTCCGCTCTGGGACGCTAGCTGCTCTCCGCTCTGGGATGCTAGCTGCTCTCCGCTCTGGGATGCTAGCTGCTCTCCGCTCTGGGATGCTAGCTGCTCTCCGCTCTGGGATGCTAGCTGCTCTCCGCTCTGGGATGCTAGCTGCTCTCCGCTCTGGGATGCTAGCTGCTCTCCGCTCTGGGACGCTAGCTGCTCTGCGCTCTGAGATGCTAGCTGCTCTCCGCTCTGGGACGCTAGCTGCTCTCCGCTCTGGGACGCTAGCTGCTCTCCGCTCTGGGATGCTAGCTGCTCTCCGCTCTGGGATGCTAGCTGCTCTCCGCTCTGGGATGCTAGCTGCTCTCCGCTCTGGGATGCTAGCTGCTCTCCGCTCTGGGATGCTAGCTGCTCTCCGCTCTGGGACGCTAGCTGCTCTGCGCTCTGAGATGCTAGCTGCTCTCCGCTCTGGGACGCTAGCTGCTCTCCGCTCTGGGACGCTAGCTGCTCTCCGCTCTGGGACGCTAGCTGCTCTCCGCACTGGGACGCTAGCTGCTCTCCGCTCTGGGACGCTAGCTGCTCTACGCTCTGAGATGCTAGCCGCTCTCCGCTCTGGGATGCTAGCTGCTCTCCGCTCTGGGGATGCTAGCTGCTCTCCGCTCTGGGACGCTAGCTGCTCTCCGCTCTGGGATGCTAGCTGCTCTGCGCTCTGAGATGCTAGCTGCTCTCCGCTCTGGGACGCTAGCTGCTCTCCGCTCTGGGACGCTAGCTGCTCTGCGCTCTGAGATGCTAGCTGCTCTCCGCTCTGGGATGCTAGCTGCTCTCCGCTCTGGGATGCTAGCTGCTCTCCGCTCTGGGACGCTAGCTGCTCTCCGCTCTGGGACGCTAGCTGCTCTCCGCTCTGAGATGCTAGCTGCTCTCCGCTCTGGGACGCTAGGTGCTTTCCGCTCTGGGATGCTAGCTGCTCTCCGCTCTGGGACGCTAGCTGCTCTGCGCTCTGGGATGCTAGCTGCTCTCCGCTCTGGGACGCTAGGTGCTTTCCGCTCTGGGATGCTAGCTGCTCTCCGCTCTGGGACGCTAGCTGCTCTGCGCTCTGAGATGCTAGCTGCTCTCCGCTCTGGGACGCTAGGTGCTTTCCGCTCTGGGATGCTAGCTGCTCTCTGCTCTGGGACGCTAGCTGCTCTCCGCTCTGGGACGCTAGCTGCTCTCCGCTCTGGGACGCTAGCTGCTCTCCGCTCTGGGACGCTAGCTGCTCTCCGCTCTGGGACGCTAGCTGCTCTCCGCTCTGGGACGCTAGCTGCTCTCCGCTCTGGGATGCTAGCTGCTCTCCGCTCTGGGAGGCTAGCTGCTCTCCGCTCTGGGATGCTAGCTGCTCTCTGCTCTGGGATGCTAGCTGCTCTCCGCTCTGGGATGCTAGCTGCTCTCTGCTCTGGGATGCTAGCTGCTCTCCGCTCTGGGACGCTAGCTGCTCTCCGCTCTGGGATGCTAGCTGCTCTCCGCTCTGGGATGCTAGCTGCTCTGCAATACTAGCTGCTCTCCGCTCTGGGACGCTAGGTGCTTTCCGCTCTGGGATGCTAGCTGCTCTCCGCTCTGGGACGCTAGGTGCTTTCCGCTCTGGGATGCTAGCTGCTCTCCGCTCTGGGACGCTAGCTGCTCTGCGCTCTGGGATGCTAGCTGCTCTCCGCTCTGGGATGCTAGCTGCTCTCCGCTCTGGGATGCTAGCTGCTCTCCGCTCTGGGATGCTAGCTGCTCTCCGCTCTGGGATGCTAGCTGCTCTCCGCTGTGGGATGCTAGCTGCTCTCCGCTCTGGGATGCTAGCTGCTCTCCGCTCTGGGATGCTAGCTGCTCTCCGCTCTGGGATGCTAGCTGCTCTCCGCTCTGGGATGCTAGCTGCTCTCCGCTCTGGGATGCTAGCTGCTCTCCGCTCTGGGACGCTAGCTGCTCTGCGCTCTGGGGCGCTAGCTGCTCTGCGCTCTGGGGCGCTAGCTGCTCTGCGCTCTCCCTCGGGGTCACTGCAGCCAGTAACAGCAAGCTGTTTATCCGGACAATTAATACATCTGTCTTCAGACGAGTCCCTCGGGTGTTTGGTGAAATTGTGTCGAGCCGCACCCTTGGTGTGGTGCGTCGCCCCTGTATGACGTACGACGTGTGAGGCGTTCCCTGTGTGTCGTACGACGTGTGAGGCGTTCCCTGTGTGTCGTACGACGTGTGTACGTCACACAACAACTACCCATTCAAAAATGTACACACACACTGACCCACAATCCCATTCACACTCAAACCCACCAACATCCGCCATCCACATATTCCCTCATAAACACACAGCTCTCTGCTCCTGTAATTCCGCAACTCCACTTTGGAATGGAACGAGGTGTAAATTTAACGATAAAATATATCCTTGGCGGCAGTGGAGGAGGCCATAAAGACGAGAGTGTACTGCAATAAGCTGGCACAATGACTCAGTCACTTCTGCTTGTTTCATGCACTATTCCTCGGGCCCTTTGGCTAATTGCTAGTTGGGTTGTTAAGCTCTCCGATTGCTTCTGATGACTGGGTTAGGGAGTTAAAAGGTTATCAAGGAGGCGGAATTTGGAGGTTTTAGTGAAGGGGATTTTATTTTATAATGTGGTAGGAGATTAGTGGCTGTTTTGTGAGTCTGGTAATTGTGTTTTGTATCTAATTTTATCACGCATTGCTATCACCATCCACTGCTGTTACCACCACCACTCTCATCCTCAACCACTCCTAATATAGTTTACTACTAGTATGACCTAGGCAGCCCCTCCCCTAATGTGTTAATAGGGGGTGGTGGAGGGCGTGCTTCACCTCAACAAAGCAGTATTCCAATACCAAACTGGGTGACTGGGAGAAGCAAGATCACTCACACTAAGCCACCGTGACTACACACCACTTGGAAGGGATTCGAGGACAAGGAACTAGGATATGAGACGGCCGTGTAAGGAATGATATCCAACCACTTGCACCACCAGGGATCGAACGCCGACCTTGTAAGATGCAAAGGCCGTTCGTCCTCTCGACCAATCGAAGCGGATGGACTAGCATGATCAAAAGCTTACGAAGCTTAATCACCTGTACAGGTTGCTGACCCCACACACTTGTGCTTCGACAAGCTGTGAACGTCGTTCGACAGCTGTGTATCCGGACCCAGGGTTCGCAAACCCGGACCAGGATGCTCGTATCCGAACCAGGGTGCGCGTATCCGGAACAGGGTGCATGTGCATAGCAAAATATTTGCATTGTACATATTATTTTGGGGTGGATCCTGCTATAAATGTGAAGTTCTTCAACCAACCTGTGTTTGTTTACACTGGAATCTTCACATCCTCCCGTATCTTCACGCGGGACCTGTTTCCCTTGATTTTGTGTCGAGGAATTTTGCTGTGCGGGCCTTATGCCTCTGGCTGGCCCACTGAGAGTTACTCATAGTCTTAGGCGGAGGATCAGTCTAATGCAAAACAACGTTTGCGCTGTTAAATCTTAGTGGAAATCTAATCTTGTTGCTTACTCTGACCTCCAACGGTGTTAGCAAACTATCTGCCAAATAAAACAA